AATGCATAAAGCAAATGCATAAGCGTGTACTTAATTAAGCATGCAATTAACTGAGTCTTTGCCTGGTCTAGACTCTTCCATTTGCCAGTGTGCTGTCAGCAATTCAAAGGGCAAAGGATGTCACGTTTGCAGAGACAAGGGCGGGGGGAATGGACAGAGCAGCAAATGAGATGAATGTGGAAAGAAATGTTAATTTGTTGAGGAACTCTCCAGAAAACAAATCACTTTCTGCTGTGCTTTTCCTTTGACTTTGCCACCCCAGCACTGTGAACAAATACAAAAGATTTGCCAGGCACACATTAATTCACCAACACTCCTAGTGAAACTAAAAATAGACTGGCCAGTGCCCAGCACTGCCTGTCGGAATGTGAACCTTGTATTAGCTGAAGCGGCCGGTCCCTGTGTTATTTTCTGTTTATTTAGTTAAGTAGCAACCCAGCCTCATGTGGAATGAGTAAATCAAGACATGCAAGCCAAGAGTGAGTTACGTTTTCCCAGAGAAATGGAAAGCTTTTTGATGGTTAAATACAGTGCTGTGCTGGAGCAACACTATATTAAATATTCAGTCAGCCTAAAAGCAGAGGAGTATACCAAAACCAACATTTCTCCTTCTTCCACATCCACATTTAAGGGATGTGGAATACTGTAAGAAATACTATTGCAACTATATTTCAAAACATCCCTGAGTTACTGTATCTACAGAATTACTATTTTAAAATCACAGTCTGCTATTCTAATACTATTGAAAGACCCAAATTTATTCTCCCTTATGTGGGTGGGGTGTCTCTAGCATCTCATTCCTTCCTTCCTTAGTCTCTATCCAAAGAAGCACTCTTCAAAGTACAATATGTCCCAAGTGGGTAAGTGTAAGCATATTCTAAGTGTTTCTCAATATGTAATTTTGTGGAGCTGCCCAGTCACGTGTCGCTGGCATTCAAATTTGTTTCCAACTGCTAAACAGTTTCAAAGGGGAGCTAAAAAGCGCATGGACCAGTTTGCTAAAGCTGCTTCAAGGCAAGCAATTGGGGTAGCTGCTCCTAAGAAACTGCTGCAGTGAAGAGGATGGAAAGTCATCTATTAACAGGGGAGCTGTGCCGTGAAACAGCTCGAGAATGCTGGATACAAACTGGGGTAAAGGCTGTGTGTTATTCTTGGGTATATTTACCACCCGAGTCACAGCAAATTTCACTTGATGTGAGCCAGCACCCTCAGAGTAGGGAACACTTTAGAGTACCTACACACTGTCCCAGGCATGTTTCCAGCACATAACCCAGTGGTAAAAATGTCTTTGAATGCAAATTCGGAGAAGCAGCAGCTAGCTATAGGTTAACTCTGGATATGCCAATACCAAAGACTGAAGAAAAGAGAAGACAACCTGCCTACCACTTCTCTGAATATTCTACAATTCCTTCCCTCATAAAAAAATGCTTCAGGAGGCCTCTGGAAAAGGTCTTCACCTCTAATATGTGTTAGAGGTCTACAGAATTCACAGCAGTTCAATACTTCTTAGATTAAATAGGCCATTTTGCTTAGGATTGCAGCCATGGCATGGAAGTGAGGACAAAAATATAACAGCAAGAAAAATATTCCATAACAGCAAATGTTTAAATGAGGGGTACTCTGATGATGGACTTAACCTTGCACATCATTAATCACACAAGTAGCCTTGGCTGGCTCAGGTCTGTGTGCATTTTTGGAGATACATATATGAATGCAGATGAGCAAAAGCAGATCATATTTATATTTGAATAGCTTTTACAGAGCCAAAATACCACTCTACTGTCAAACACATTATTCCTGTTTAAACCCATGACAGGTCTGAGCACAGACACTAAGTGGCCTGTTTCTGTGAATGTTTCAACTCTGTTTTCTGCCATTTTTAAGTTCACCACATACTCATATTCTGATTCACTGTGAGAACCTCTGAGAGCTCTCCCCAAAAATTGCACAAAGCTTGTTCTGTGGGTAGAGCCTTCCAAGGCCACGTGGCTCAGCTTTGCTACAGAACATTGCTAATAGCATAATGGCATTCACCAGTATCATAAAATTGCTGAATATTAACAAGCACCTTTAAAAACACTTCACAGGGTGATTACTGTGACCATAATTTCTTCTGACAGGGTGAGTCAGCTATACTATCTCAACAAAACACAATCTTGTTAATTCAGATGCCATGTGCTCTAAGAAACATTTCTCTGACATTAGAGAGTTACATGAATTGTTACTCTGCAAAAGAGAGTGAGCTGTATATTCAATGCACTGGTCTACTTCCTGAAATTCTGGTTTATTCTTCATTCAATCCTAACCCCAGCCAAATTCTATTAACCTTATATGGAATTTGATTTGGCAATGAATTCAGGATTTAGCCATTCTCCGAAATATGACATACACTTGAACGATGGCTTTCACTTCATACCAAATGCAACTGATGATCACATTCAAACACTCTCAATTTCTTAGAGTAATGGATTCAGAATTTGTTTATAGCTCATTATCAAGTACCCAATTGTGACATCTGTGATCAGTCTTGGTACCACCTTACTTGAGTAGTCCCATCCACATGAGGAATCCCTCCGACATCAGTGGAGCAGGGTGAATAGTAAGGTGCTACCTACTTTGATTAAGAATGGCATAACTGAGCCCTGTATTTTGTACGTCAGGCACAGATTTAGTGAAGGAACTACCACCCCTGCAACAGTACTGCCTTGCGTTATGTGATGCATTGTGGTCACAACGCAGTGCAGCTCCATCATAAAATGAAGGCTGCACCTGCCCTGGGACAGCTGGTAAAAACACATCATATGCACAAAGAAATCTAAGGTCTTAATGCCAAGTATTAGTTGCACTGAGCTAACAAAATGTCTGGGATCATTTATTGACTTCTGTACATCAACTTGCCCTGGGATCTAAGTTCAGTTTAAAGTACAGCTAGGCACAAAAATACAGTGCTTGTTATTATTAAAACAAATAGAAATCTTTATGGACATTTTCAAAAGACATTTTAGCCATACAGTGCTAAATAGACCAGGTATGCCACAAGAGTCATCAAAACACTTGAAGGTTTACGTGGTGTTATGTTTCTCCTGTATTTGTGACCCTGAGTCCCTGTAGTGAACCGTACTGACACTTTGATCTTCCCATTTTGCAGCATGCACATTCTCTGTGTCTTGAATGAAAGGGGAGGCGGGTGGGAGCACATTGCACTGCATGGAGTATTCTCCAGCTGCATCATTTGAGCAGTGACACAAGGGAGACAGATGGTTATGGATCATCGCTTGGCAAAGACACTACAACGACTTGATGAGCTCTTTGCTAAGTTTCAGTTGAGAAATTAAGTAAGCAGAAATTGTAGATGTTAAATAGATAAAAGAGAAATCTTCTTTAATCATGGTATCTTTTGCCAGAAGATAGCTTCAGGGCTTATTAAAGATGGCGTTAGGAATCTCTTCCCTTAGTTTTCACGTTTCCAAGGCTCTTCTTCAACAACACTGAAGTCTGCAGATTTGCCATTGGTTGCCAGTGTTACCTGCAAGTAATTATCATCAACAACCGACTTAAAGGCCAAGGCACTTTGACAAGAAAAGTTATGAGTTTTATATGGAAGATCAGGATATTTACAGGAATTACATACGCCATGTCTTATGATACGTGCAAAATGTATTTATTCAGAATTCACAACACTCCCAAATAGTGAGACTCCTGTTCATTTATTATACTGACTAGAAAACATCAGCAGTAGAAAAAAAGTTTCAATTTTCTTAGCCTTTGCTGTACATTTTTTTTTAAATAAATATTTCAGATTCTACTCCTTTCTATCTCCTATAGATTTCTCTGGATTATTTCAGATTATGATTTTTTTTTGATGCAGAAAGTCTCATTTTTTCAGTGGAATTCCTTAGCTAAGCAGGACAGCTGATGTAAGGATATGAAAAATACACAAGGCCAGAATACTCATACATATGCATCTATACAAACTCACCTGCAATCACACCACCTTTAAAAAAAAAATGGAGAAGGTAGGCTGTGCAAGTATTGTTCGTCACACCACTATTACTAACAATGTAGTGAAAGATTTTGACTCTAGTCAGACCAAAAATTCATAGTAATGCTATGTTCGCCTCACACAAAGTACAGCAAAACATCACTCTTGCCTGTAATGGTGTGTGCTAGAATTTTTGGGTTTTAAGTATAGTGGATGACCTGTAGTATGTACCAACCCACAGTACACACTGGCCTGTACTCTACCTCCCACAAATCACTATAGATAACCCTGCTGCAAAAAGATAGCTCCAGCTAAATGACTTAAAAAATTTAAAAAGGTAGAAAGTTAATTCAACTTTACAAGTGTGATCTAGATCTTTATAATTGTGAGAGAACCTTTCACTTAATTCTAAATGGATGGCTCACTCTTTCCTAACTTACCTTGTAAGTTAACATCTTCAGCTTCAAATGAAAACTTAAAGACAGAGCTGAAATTCCCCATGCTGGATAAACCGGATGCATGGAAGCATTGGGACATGGAAACATGACAAAATGCACTGATTTTTGAAACAAAGTCAAGCGTTTTCTTAGGTAATTGAAGAGGGGAAACATGCAAATACAGGAATGAACAGCTGATTCAGAAATTAAAATCACAGAGTCATGTGAAACATGATAATAAAAAAATACAAAAATATCATGCAATAACAACCACTCTACCCCCCTATAAAGGTAAACTACTTATTAAAAATATACATTGACCATGCAAAATTAGAAACTATTAGCGTTATACATGGAATATATTACAGAAAGTAAACAGATGGACAGACTAGTAGATTAGCTTTTCTATATGCTGACCAGAGCGGCAATGAGATTTTCAACCCACGAGTGCATTTGACAGGATGTCTCTTCAGATTTCACAGCTGGCTGTTTCAAAGCCCCTAATCCTACACCTTGTTGCTGTTGCTATTCTAACACTTGGGAACTGCAGACCGCTTCAACATGATCCAAACGCTTTGCGAATGTCAGGATCTACTCATAGCTTGTAAAGCAGAGCGTAACATCACATCCTTTTGGCAGCTTGCAGGCAGACACATGGACAAGCAACCTGCTCAAAGTCCGTCCTGTGCTCCATCTGGCAACCTCTGGCTCTTTTCATGAGTTTAAAAGTGCAAAATGAGATTGCAAGCAGAGCAGACCTGAAACAATGAACTAGGATAAACACTTCCAGCTCATCAATCACTGGTCCCAAATTTTAACGAAAGAGTGTGCGTACTTTGACCCACCACATCACTAATCCACGTTTTCAGGGTCAGCTAATGCCTCAACTGAGGGAAACGGTAAGAAAAACTGAAGGAGAGAAGAAAGTGCAGCAAGTATTGCATCAACAGGCTGCTGCTTTCTAGCTTGACTTTGATCTCTGAAAATCCGAGAGACCGGAAGGAGTTAAAATTATCAGTATTCAGCTCTGTGAACCTGATGCAGACCAATATATGGGAGCTGAATTTCTCTTAAACCCACTGAAATTAGCATAGCTTACTTCACTGAAAACAGTTTTACAAAAGTTCCGAAAGAAGTTAACCAAAAAAGTGAGAGTGTGCGTGCACACTTACTTGTAATGAAAAATGCCTTATATCAAATAAGATCTTTCTTTTCAGGGGGTTTCTTTTTTCCTTAAAATTTTTATCTCTTCTCTGTTCTTTCCTTTTTTGAGAAATATAAATTAATGACAAATTTTAATTTTGCATAAGCATCTATTCTCTTTCCATTTCAAATTTTTTTTTCTTTAATTTTTCTCAACGAAAAAGAGTGGGTCAGAAGAGGAAAGGGAGAGCCATATCAGAACAAAACGTTTGTTTTCATTTAAAAAAATAATTTTATTAAAAACTTGAAAGATTCAGGGAAAAACTGAGGATTAGATGAAAGTTTTTTCTTTCCTAAATTCAGTACTACTTTTTCCCCTGATAATTCAGGTTTGGCCTGACATTATCTAGAAGTAAGCATTAGAAAAAAATTATACTCTAAAGAACATTTCCAGCCAGGCTGGTGAGAGGTTGAAGTGGTAGAATAGGACTTATCTTTCCTATATATGCATGGTGATCTGCTAATAGGCTTAGCGTAGGCATTCACAGTTAGATACTGGCTCAGTTGTGGCAACTGGAAGGCGCAATAGAATCTTTTTGGGTCAATGGCTAAGGTGGCCTCACTGGCAAATCCACTGTGCCACAGACGGTGTACAGGATCAGATCAGAGTATTAATAAGTAAAAAAAGACTATGAAATGAAAAGTTCCATCTTGTTTCACTCTCTTTCTCTTCCTTTTCAAAAACTCTCTCTTGATTTTAAACTGCCCTGTCCTGGTGGTGGGTGCTTAGGAAACTTTTAACCAGTAACCTCCCCAGCTGTTTTCTCATTCAGCTGGTGGTGTCTCTTAAGCTCACTTTGCTCTGATCAAGACATTATTACTATTAATAGTCCATGTTAGTAACAGCAAGGAATAGAGAGAATACAATGGTTGTGTCTTAATGACTCGGGAACGATGACGGAAGCAAAGCATAAGCATGCTGTATGAGTGCAGGAGCATTCTGGTGATAAAGTGCATTCAACATGTCCATCTCTGAACAGCATATCATGGAAGGCAGTCAGCAAATGACAACACCTGCATCTGAATTGCAGCTATCCTTCATCAGAGTTGGCAGTTAAGTTCTCTGTTGCCATAGAAAATTAAGTAAATGTCCACAGGAGGTGATGCCACATTCTCTGCATCTTGGCATATTCCATAATACGCTGCATCTTGCCTTTTGATATGTAAACAATGTACATGATTTTTTCCCCTCAAACGACAACTTTCAAGAAAAAAACCCATCTTTCGAACTGCTCAAACTCATTCAAAATATCTGGGGTTCATGGACCTTGTTGTCACATTGTTATTTGCAGAACGATTTGAAAAATACATGCAAGTTAAAAAAAAAAGATAAAATAAAGCATGCAGGGCTATATACATGTCTCAATATCCATAAATGTGAAAGGTACCTTGCACTCATCTACTATGACTGAGTTGTGAGCTGCAAAAACACATTGGTTTGAGTTGTTTTCCCTATGATTTTTCATGTCGTCATAGATTGACTGAGTCTTGGTCATTTCAATGTCTTCGTGCCCTTTATGATGGGAATCAATGGTGTCAAGTTCTGCCTTGGAAAGGTGGTAGACAATGCCAGCACCAAAAGAATCCCCCACTACATTGACTGACGTTCTCATTCGGTCCCTACAAAAGAAGCAAAAGGCAGAGGCTGAATGGCATGAGAGGAAGAAATAGTAGGGCATGGCAGCCCTGTTGATGTTACAGTTACTGCATTTATTTCAGAAAGTTTAAGGCATCTTTAGAACGGAAAGGTTGGAGCTTCCAAGGGAAACTGAAAAAGCTTGCTTTCCCAGGTGACTTGTTCAGACAGGAATGATGTACAAACTCCCATGTCCCAGCTGCTCATACTCACAGATTTTGGCAAAGAACTCACGCTAGAGACACAGCCAAACTGCAGAGCTGTGCCTGACTGACATCTCCCCAGCACTGCTTCTGGAGCTGGAGGTTTCAACATCAGGGTGCCAGGCTCACATCATTCCCCTTTGTTTAATCTGAATTTATCAGAGCACTGAACTTAATGCAGCCAGAGAAAACGATTTTGGATCTGATGTGGTGGTCTCGTTTCTGGGATGGATTCACAAATGGCCTCTCCCTTTCTTCTCAGTGAGCAAACTATGGGGGCAGGGGGAAGCCTGAAATATCTCCATAAGGCTCAGGCCATCGAAGTTCCTCTCCTGGCACCATCTTTACATACGGTCATCTGTTAGCATGGCAGCATGCCCATTCACACAACTAGTGGCTGGCATCTCAGCCAACCTAATATAGGTCATGGCCTACAAAATGATGAGCCTGATTGATAGTATTTCAGTAATGAGTGCCCCTCCTTGTAGCAGGGTGCCAGCAGAGGCTCACATGCTTCATTACGAAGAACGTGTTTGTTGGCCCTTCCTGGCCAGGATGCCATTGGACAGACACGTCACCTTTCTCCTGTCTTGTTTTTAGACTGTGGCTCTATCTGTCAGCAGTAAACTCACAGTTGTGGATTTTCCCCAGTTTCAGAATTCTGCCCCAAACCTGCCCAAAATTCTGCAAAGGTGGGAGATGGTCTTACAGAGTACTGCAGGACTACGGGCTCCTGCCGTCTTTCCCATTGCAGGTAGGCTGCATTACACATGCTGAAATAATTTACAATCCAATCTGCCTCTTCATATCTGAACTAAACATAAGACTTCTAAAAACCTTCTGACTGACGGCTGCAGCAACTGAGTCTAGCTTTGTCAAATAGGTCAGAGAAGAAATTACATGGATTAATTCTCAGAGGTATATCCATGAAGACTCACTTACACAAAATGGGCAGGTTGAACAGTGTGGACATTTGCCAAGTGACAGAAAAGCCAGCATGTAAGACCTCATTTTCCATGACAGTGATTAATTTGAAAACACCTTTTCTAGTATTTCTAGTACTAGATTTGTGTAACACCTCCTTTTCCTGTAGGACACTGAGATAAAACCCCTAGATATATAAATCCCAAACTGATAAACATTCATTACATGTGCCTGTTCATGGCCATGTAAACTTCTGAGCCCTTTTTGACATCTTTGCTCTAAATCTGAAAATTTGCCTTTCTCAGCTGTGGAACCACATTCCCTTTCAAGTTTCTCCTCTCCCGCTCTATACTATCACGCTTAGATATTCGGGGTTCGTGGTGTAATATCTTAGTGAAGCACTTAATTTTTTCTTTGTCATAAAAAGAATACCTAGAAGGAAAAAACCCCTCCACCCTTCCAAATAATCCCCCTGAAACACAAAAACCAAACAACAACCCATAGGAGAAAAGCATCCTTCCAGTGGTGCTTTATACAGTTCTCATCCTGTGCCTGTGAAGCATGTTTTAAACCTGGTCAGAATGGCAGAATAGGAAAATACAACTTTCCAAGTATAGTTTTTAATTAAGACTATCAAATACACTGAACCTGGCAACATAGCTCCACAAAAAGATCACCTACTTAATTTTTTTTGTATGAGTAGCATTAAATTTTGAAAGGATTCATTAACGCCAGACGATGGAGGGATAGTATAGGATGCCAAAAAAACAAGGTGGAGAGAATATATAAATATAATTGAGGCACAATTCAAATTCTTCAAATGTGAGGAGAGGCTCCAGCCCATATGCATGTGTGCAGCGACACAAACCACGCACTGATGCAGAACATGCCGTACTGCATGAACCGAAGTGAACAAGCTCCTTACAACAGAAAGGACAGTCTCAGCCACCAGGAATCAACTGCAAAGTGCCACTGACCTCTTTTGGAACCAACCAATCAATTCCAGCTATGCTGGAAGGATGTAAACAAAATCAGTCTAGGAAAGTTCCAGTCTAGTAAATGACTGCCCCAACACAGCCACTTCTGCCTTGTCCATAACAGCTTCTGAGAGGGATAAGGGGACTAAAAGTCAAAGTTCTCTCTGAAAAGCCAACTCAGCATCTGGTAAGAATGGGCTTTAGAACAACTGGGAAGTAATTCTTTAAATCCTGATAAGGGTTATTGCCTAATTTCCTCAAACTGGCATAATTCAGAAGAACTGGAAGATTAACAATGTAGATGAAAGGAACAGAAATGAGAAGAACCGAATCAAGCCCCCTTGTTATTAATGTCATAGTATCTATACAGCATGCTAGCATGCAAAAAAGTTACTTCTGTTCCCTGAAGCTTGAAAACCCGGTATATCAAACTTACTAGATTTTAGAAGGGAGATTAAAATCTTAGCACACCTGCTAAGTCAAAACCAGGTGAGAAGTTTAACTTGCCTTACTTCTTTGTAATTATAGGAAAGAGCTCCTGTTTCCTATCGTTTAATTCAATTTACATAAGGCCCTGTTCGTAACATCCAGATATCAACTGGGTCTGAATATTCTGAATTTAGATCTAAGCCAAGGAACAGAGTCAGAACTCAACCTTTTTCTGAGTTACTGAATGAAGGTTTAATCACTGGATCAGCCGTCCAAGCCCATTTTCTCTAATTCCTCTCTCCTTACTGCAAAATACCACTGTATTTGAGGTTGTGCTACGATACTTGCTAAGCTTGTCAGTCTTACATCTGGAAAGTAGCCAGCTCCGGGCTAGAGCAAAAGAAGCTGGTTTTATTCCAGCTGTTGGCACATAAGTACTGTCATATTAAATGTCACTGCTGTGTTGTGCTTAATTTTAAACTGAGAAACTATGAGAGTTGTGAAATCTTGGGAAACTTGTCTGGTGAAAGGGCCCATACTGTGTACGTATGTGTGGGAGGGGGAAAGGTTGAGCAACCTAATCTCTAGATATTGGAGAGGCTTGAGAAGAAATTGATACAGAAATCTTTTGGCTCTAAGTCAAAAGAGAGAACGCGAAGTTTAAGGACAATCAAAAGTCAGTTTTGTGTTACACCATGACCAAATCATGCAAAACTGGTTTTGGTAAGACCACAGTTTCAGATAATGGTAGTATAGTAAAATGTTCTGGTATTTTCTTTCATCAGAAATATTGAAAAACTCATAGAGCAGGACATTTTTGAAAAGCTTTCATTATCTGGAATTGAAATGTTATAAAAGAGCTATTCCAAACATTTCTACATGGCTGGTTGCATTTACACACTGGTTCCAGAAAAGTGGCTGGAATTGGGTCTTCAATATTCTATTAGCCTTCTCTTCTACATTCTGTTAGAAATACTGCTGTAATGTCATTTGACGGTCTAAAGAAATGGAAGAAGACAATGTTTGTAAGTAAAGAAAATATCTTTTTATGACCTTTCATTTCACATATTCTTTAGGTCTGGTTTGTGTGCCCAAAAGCTTGCTCGAAAGTTGGCTTGTGTGCCTTTTCTTAACATCAGCAATGTCAGCAGCATTGTTTTCCATATCTCATTAGATCATTGTGGCTCCCACAACATAACCACAGGAAGATGGAAAATAAAGCCAGTAGCTGTTGAACATAACGTTAATTAGCACAATACTTCCACCAGCAAACTTTGTCTTAACTTTGCAGCGCTAGTGGCATGACGAGGAGCTTTTCATCTTTTTTATCTCTTTTCCCTTTTCCCTCTACCTTTCAGTTCTGAATCACGCTGCAGTTGCACCACTGATTTTTAGGCCAGAAGGATCCAAACTCAGGCTGAACAGTTCTTTTGCCTGGCATTTATTTTGGAAAGATTCCTTGAAATATTTCTTTCAGAAGTACTATCCCTCCTATACTTACGTTAATCACTGCTACAGCTCCACAGTGCAGATGTTTTGTTTCCTAAGCAGGCTTGGGTGAGCCAGCAGTAACAACACTGCTGACGCTGAGCCTGCAATGTGACACCTACTTGTGGGTCAGAGCTGCTGGTAAACTTACAGCTCTGAGGTTTGCTAGAATGGGCAGAGCTTCTCAGTCCACAGGAATATTTTTAAATGACATTTCCCTAAAAAACAAACAAACCACAGGCTCCTTTTGCACATCCTCCTACCAGCTGCAGAAACCTACCTATTCGCCTTACTTTGAAAGGCAGCAAAACCATATATTTAAAATGATTATGCACCTCCCTTTTGCTCACCTCCTCCCAACTGCATACTCCTATGCTGCTTTCCTGTTTTCAACTATGACCTCATGAATATAATAAACCTACAGAATATCACATTTTTCCCTATGCCAGCTGTATTGACTGCTGAAACCTGTCTCATTTCACCATTCTGAGTCACGATATCATGACATTCAGTTATATAGTCATCTTTTACCTTTGCCTTCCCAAGCTGTAAATTCCTCTTTCATTTTTCTCTGAAGCAGAAATTGGAGCTGTGTGCTATTCTTCACAACTCTTAGTGACAAAATAGGTAATAACAGATAAGAGTATAGCAGTAGATCCAAAATACATGCCAGAGGATTGACCAAGTTCTTGAATTCTTCTCAATAAGCCAATAGATGATGACAGAAAACTAATTTTCTATTTTATCTTTGCATTCTCAACTCTGCTATTCCTTCTTGCATACTAGTATCTGGGACTGAAAGCTACCACAAGCAGGCAGCCACGGGTGCTAGTGCAGGAGGAAATCCACAAGTAGTATGGAGTGGTACTTGTATCTCCTCTTCTGGGCACCACAGCTGGCACAACAGAAACACACGTCTTTACTATGTAAAAGAATATGAGGGGAGAGATGACTGTTGATCAGAATATACTGTGCTGCAGCAGTATAGGGCAACATAAAAGCCTCTAGAGGCCATTACAACTTAGGGGACTACTGAGTCCCCGTCAGCTCTGTGCAGGTGACAGAAGAGTATCCACATTGTGAAATGACAACATGAGAAAGGATGTGGCTTGGCATATGCTCTGTCTATATTTACAGCTTTTGTATTCAAATGCTGAAGAACAAAAGCCTTGGAAAAGTATCTGTGGGTCAGCTGTTTCTTGTTGGAGGACCTGCAATGGCACTGACAGACTTTGATCTCAAGTCCTTGAAAATGAAAGTCAGTCCTTCCAGTTTGAGGGTTCCAGTAAAATCAAACTAGGGAATAACTTTCTCTCTTTTGCTTTGCTTTCTTACTTGTCTTTGATTTATATCCTGCTCTAGAATAGTTTCTTTCTTAACAGGATTTTACTTTCTTACATACAAAAAGAAATAGACCTTCCCCACTACAAGCATAAAACATTTGATGCTACAAATGCCCAAATCATCCTGTAACTTGCTGAAAGCATCCTGATGGAACCCGCATTTTCAGCATTTGTCCTTAATTTTAGACCAGAGCTATAAGAAGCATAAATATGAAAGCAAATATCAGAAAACTGCTCTTGATGTATGTCTGTGATGGAGAGGCATCATTAAAAAGAAGAAAATATACAAGCATGAGCGCCAGGATCCTACGAGAAGATCCTTGGCTCATAGAAACTGACTTCAGTAGCTCTATGACAATTTGTACCAGCTGAGAAGCTGCTTTCAGTGTCTCCTATTTCATCAAATGGCCTATTTCCACCTTTGCTTCATCTGTAGAGGACAGTCTTACAGTTCTTTAAGATCAACAGCTGAAAAGCACTACAGACAAGCATTTCTTCACTATTGTTTCTGCACTGAGCAGTGGAGTCAGCACAACTTACAAAAGCCAGTCAACAGCAACAAGCAAACTGATGTCCTGGGTAGGGAGACCCACTGCAGTAAGGATCAGCAGCATAGTGACAAGTCCCGCGCTGGGAATACTGGCAGCTCCAACACTTGCAAGGGTGGCGGTCAAACTGCAAAAACAAAAATCAAATGGAGGTAGCAGGAAGATGAATGTACATTTTCATGCATACTCACGTGATGATTAGGAAGGCCTTACTTTTAATGAGTTCTTCCCAGAAAATGAATGACTATATGATAAAACATGGTAAGCACAGGCCACAGTTTTCACGCTTGTGTTTCTCCAAAAATATTTATTAGGGGTGGCCAGATCTATAGTTTTTTTTCCATGAAAGGTGTAAGAGAGTTGTCTGAGAGATCTAAGCTCTGTAAGTTGGTTATGGCATTCAAATCTTTGGCCTGGTGTTGTTTTCTGAGCGCTGCCAACACATCCAGGTTTTGAATCCTGAGATCTGATCATTCAGACTTCCTGAAGTTTGGTGGCTACAGGTTGAATTTTTAGGGTGTTTCATTTCTGTTTATTTAAAGACTGAATTGTGAGATAATGGCTGAAAGAAAGTGGTTATTATCAAGCACAGAAGAGTAAAAATCTTGGTATCCAAAACTCCCACAGTACAAGCCAGTGGTGAAACAAGCCTAGATACAAATCACACTAGACAAAAAAGTAAAATTCATCTGATTGTTTCATAAATCCAAACCTGTCTCTGTTTTTGCCTCTCTTATTTTTTGATGAAGACCAGTACAGTGAATGTCTGTGCTCCAAATGTTTGTAAAAATACAACACAGACCATAACAATCATCAACATCCTTGGGCAATCCTATGAAGAACGGAAAATAAATTTGTCAGAGAACAAGTCAAGGGGAGAAAAACAGGGATTTTTTAGAGGGAGAGGGAGGGAAAGGCAAAAGGAACAAGGAAAAAGGAATGAAAAACTTATCTCTTTTTAAACACAGAGATGAGTAACATGGTTGTACTTCTGTGGGTGTACCCGACAAATCTGAAAGTGCCTCCAACAACCAAAGGTCTCTGTGGGGGAAATTCTCATCTGTTAGCCACAGAGCTAATCTGTGAGGATGTTTAGAGCTGGCAGACGGCTGGGTCTGACCCAGACAATCCAGGTCGCAGCGTGTTTGTCAGGTGTCTGGGTTAGAGTGCAACCTGGCCTACCGAACACCCAGATAGGTCCAGCAGGTATGCAGGCAGGATGCTCTGCTCTACCATCAGGCTCTGCGTATGGTGCCAGCTCCTCAGGCACTTCCAGCCTTGACTGGTAAGGGATTGCTTCCACATTCTGTGAGGAAATACTCCTGCCAGCCTTCCCACAGCAGCACTCACAGGTCTGGAGGGGAACAAATGTTCAGGTCTAAACAGAGTCCGGTTTTGCTACCATTTCCAAGATCACCCTCACCCAAAGACAGGAAATCAGAGGCTCTACATGACCAGTATGAAGTAACTAGGGCTGGGTCTTTGTGAGTTTATGGCTGCGTCATTTCAATATGCTAAATTTAATCTAAACCTAGTATTAGGTACCACAAACTGGATTAAGTTGACAGACACAACTTAATAACCTTTCATTCATTTGTATTGCCACCTCAAGAGATGGTTCTTGTCATATCGTTGTAGCAAAAATGCTATGCTGCGTGAAGAGGAGAACCAATGGTTTTCTAACAGATAGCCCGAAGTTGCCACCTGCTTAATGAATGTGAGTCACAAAGCTGGCTACACCAGCCCTGAAATGGTGAGATCAGGAAGAGCTAATGGGTCAGTTCCCCAGAGGAGAAGAATAGGAGTAACATGGGTTCAAGCCTACCAAATTCCTTAGACAACAGCTGATTCCTGACTTGAATTTCCCTGGTCCCAACTGAGTTTAATATGTGGCATCTCTGAAATGACTGCTTTGCAGTCTTAGCAACAAATATGCATCATGGAAGTCTAGCAACTGCCTTCATTAGAAGCAGGCCTGAACCTTTTACAAACGTTGGCTTTGCTATTTCAGGGGATGGGGGAGGAAGTAAAGAAATGGAAAATGTGGAACTAGTGTAGCTGGGCAAGAAATATAGACATCCCTTTGCAGGAATATCTTTAGTGTTAAAAATGGGTTTAATAAAAGAATGGTGGGTGGGTGAAAACTACAGGAAGAAGGCAAACTTGGCAGCCTTCATTTGTGGTTTCCATTTTGACCACTCAAAATGTCAGGCCTGGTGTCTTCATCAAGTTTTCCATTGTAAATGAACTTCAGCTGCAGCAGTCATAACTTCGCCATTGTTTTTTATTAGTCACCCTACCTAATAGGTCTTAAAACTCCATTACAGTAGACAGTCTTCAATCACTCTTATCTATTTTTAATGGGTACTTTCCTTTGTCCTTCCAGATATCCAGCTTAGTCCTAGATATGACAATTTGATAAGAAAAGACTAGAGCTAATATTTGCTAGGTTAGAGATAAAAAAGTCTGGGAGTATCAAGACCATGCTGCAGGCAATCTCCATCTCAGGCTGGGCTATTCTCAGTCAATTTTGTTTGCTGTTCACCAAAGTCACAAAGTCACAGTCACACATAAATACATGGATACATTTTTTTTAGGTACACTTTTTTCTTCCCATGTGTATAAACATAACATTCTAGAATGTTAATGCCCCATATATCACTCGTAGCATCCCTCTGTACTAAAAAAGACATTGCATTGGACAGAGAATGCTGTATTTTACATTGAATTGTCAACTGCAAAACTGTGTAAAACACCACCAGCACGTGCTAAGGCTGCAAATAACAGAGAATGCACGTCACCAGAGAACCAGGACATATATGACCTTCCTTTGCATATCATTATTAGAAATCCATAGATTTCACAGTGAATCCCACAGCTACTGAGAAGACATCCAACCCAAAGCTTCACATTTGACAGTCTGTAGAAACAAAGCCTACAAGTATTTTGAACTGACCTCACAGTAACTATCTGGCCTCCATCCAGCTCAATTCCATTCATCTGTGCTATGAAGATGGCAGCCACAGCTTCATAAAGGGCAGTTCCATCCATGTTAATAGTTGCTCCAACAGGAAGAACAAACCTTGTTACACGCTTATCAATGCCTAGATTTTCTTCAAGACACCGGAATGTGACAGGTAACGTTCCAGCACTTGAAGGAGAGAAAGCAAAAATGTAGAGAAGACATAATTACAACCTAATATATACACATAAGAAGCAAAGTCAGAAATTCTGCTATCAGGGTTTATATTTTCTACTTCCACTTTCTTCTGTGATTCGAGCCTTTTTCAGCCATTGTAAAAATTAAGTCTACATTTAGCTGGAGGTGTGACTGAGGCCAAGACATGAACATGACTTGAAGTTGTGATGAGAGCCTGAGAGCGTGTAGATGAATTTTTCAGACTCATTTATGAATTCTTTCTTGCATTTTGTTCAAAAAGACACATTCCAGATGTTTTCTGATGGACCAAACTATGAGTGTAGGGGCAAATCATAAATTTCCTTGATTGTGAATTTGCTCTGAATGGATAAATCAGCATTGCATTAAGGAATGAAAAAGCCAGGCAAAAAGATAGAACCCACAGAGTTCCCAGACACTGGAGGACAGGAAAGGGTATGAAACACAGCTAGAGGATAGGAAAAGATGTGAAAGATGGCTGGAAGAGAGGAACAGCTCCTTACACAGGTCCACAGTGTCTTGCCTTTGTGGGAATAGTTCAGGCTATAGTTCAGAACACCTTCATCAGAAGAATACTGCTGAAAATAGAACATACTCTTTTTCCCTGTAGATGCAAATATCTTCTTTTCCCTAGCAGGCCTTAGGCAAAGGACTTGCTGCAACAAGCATGAAACCCACCACAGGAATATGTTTTGATTCCTTATTTTCCTGTATTACCTCTGAGCTCAAGCCCACCACTAAATGAAGTTGGTTGTTGCCTAAGAAGCTGTTCTATAAAGAAAGCTGACCTGGGGAAATTCCTTTTAATTGGTGGTTCATACAGAAGCAGCTGGAGCACATCTGTTGTTGTTTATTTGCTTTTCTTCAGTTTTAGTTAGCAGAATTTCTCAGAGGTCTTCACTATTGTATCCCACTAATTCTGGTGTCATTGCCCCTACAAAAATACTAATTTGCTCTTCCCATTTTACAGATAATTAAACCATGGAAAAGAGAGATTAAGGAATGCTTGAGACACCTAACTGTAAAAATGTAGTGTCATAATAAACATCCTAGATTATCTGGAACAAGCACATGAGGCTGACCTATCTGTCATGGGATCTACGGAAAACCCGAACCCTTCTGGACTGGCAGACACCTGAGTCACTTCCTAAATGATTCCTCTTGTCCATCTATGGAAAAATGAGTCAGAAGAGACGAGCTTCTAGATCCGCACCTTGTGCTCAAATGACTGGACCATTCTTTATTCACAGAGGCTATTTTTTTTAACAGATGTTGATAAGCCAGATACATGGTACCAATCATCTGTGTTCTAGCATCTTTCCAAATACATTTGTATTTATGATTTATTTTACTGTTTTTAATCAAAGGAAATCAAATGCTTAATATTCTGTGGGTTTAGCCAAATCAGAGAGAATTCATACTTCTGAAAACAATGTAGTGTATTCTCTTGTAAACTGCTCCAGCAGCTATTTTACAGCAGAGAACACAAAATATCTAGTGAGTCATTAACCAATAACCACTAGCCAGTTTTCAAGTCAGTTCCAGGATCACTTTGCCTCCTACAGCAAAGATATTCCTAAACCTTATTAAAAAAAAATAAAAAAAATAGAAAATGTATTTCACTGACACACATTGAAACTTGGTCAGATAGGGTTCTTTTTCTTCAAAAATACAAGTCCAGCCTTACCTTTGCTGTTACAAATCAGATCATCAGCACAAGGTGTGTACCAGCCATGGCCTGCCATTGCTGCCATGAGCCTCAGCAAGTCAGCAGGCAGGGACTACGCAAATACGTTCCCCCTCCAGTTCTGCCATCAGGAGCAAGGAGAGGTGGGCAGGCCATGGGGACAAGGGGTCTTTATTAGAAGAGCACAATACGTAGATGCCTTCCATGGTTCCTCAGCCTGGCCAAAGAGCTTTAATAGGTCCCTGAACAGGAAGAATTTGCAACTTCCAGAGGTACCAGGGTAGACCGTATGATAGTGATTGTTGCCATGTGGTCACTTGTCAGCGGTGCTATGAACTGGTCCACTTCTGTTTAGCCAATAATTCAGATCTGGATAGCAGTCAGGCGGTAAAGCCAGAATCCAGGTAAATCCATATGCTGGAATCACCTAGAATCCCCTACATTTTTTCCGCTTTGGTACTCCAGCAGGAAAACATTACTTGACGCTAAAAAACCCAACAAATGTTGTGTATGGGCACACAAAACTTACATTTTGTATGGAAAATTTCAGGGGAAACTCAAACACTTAAATGAACAAAAGCCTTAGGGAAATTGTGGTTTAGTAAAACTGCTGGCCAGACTATACCTCCTATAATCCTGCATTGTTTAGCATAGAGCCACAGAACTGTTGGGGTTGGGAGGCACCTCTGGAGGTCACCTATTCCAACCACCTTGCTCACAGCAGGGGCAGCTAGGGCAGGTTGCCCAGGGTCATGCCCAGATGGGTTGTATATCTCCAGGGATGGAGACTGCACAACCTCTCTGGGCAATCTGTGCCAGCATTCAACCACCATCACAGTAAATCACAGTAAAAAGATTTTTCTTGTGTTCAGACAGAATTTCTTGTGTTTCAATTTGTTCCCACTGTCTCTCATCCTGTCACTGGACATCACTGAGAAGAGTCCTGCTCCATCCTCTCTGCACCATCCCATCAGATATTTATGCACATCAGTAAGGCCCCCCCCAAGAGCCTCTTGTTCCTCAGGGGAGAAGCAGTTTAGCAGATGGTTTGGGCTGACCCAAAGA